GAGACCTTCTTCCGTGTTTTTTTTTGGAAAAGGGGATGTACCCCAGCCTCTCCATCAGAAAGATGCATACGGCTCATATTATTAACAGGAAAGTCCGGTAACAAAGTCTCGAAAAGGTCATAGTACACACATAAACAAAAGCTCTAAAGAGGAAAGGCCCAAAGCCACAACCGGCTGGCAAAACAATAGGATCACTACATGTCTATCCTATTACATGACCGCCATCCAAACCGGTTGAAAATATCCCGAGCTACCATCTCCCATCGGGTAGACGCAGTAACCAAACGCTCCCTGGCCTCCGTCGGAGTGAGTAGCAACCACATACGGATGAACGCCGTGGCCCTGAAAATAACCTGCAAAAAGTGAATGGTTGTTGATCTGTTAAAGACTAAGTCATTTCTGCAGTTCCATATTGCCCACAAAAGTGCACAAACGCCAACCCGAATATGTCTTGCAGTGTCAGAATCCACCCCATCGAGACATGTTCCAAATAACATGCTAATAGTGGTGGGCTAATTAATATTAAACGCAATATGAACCGACCGCCACAGAATCTTAGCCAACGGACAATCGAGAAAGAGGTGTTTGATGTTTTCGTTATGATCACAAAAGCTACATCTAGACGAGCCCACCCAATTACGTTTTGTAAGGTTATCCTTAGTCAAAATGACTTGTTTATGCACAAACCACATAAACACTTTGATACGTAAGGGTACCTTAACTTTCCAAACATGTAACGAGGTAGGGATGACGCTAGAGTTAATGACATCCAGATACATTGATTTGACCGAGAACACACCATTCTTAGTAAGTTTCCAATGCAGCTGATCTGGCTGTTGAGACAACCGGACACCCACTAAACGTCTAACAAGATGGAGCCAGGCCTCCCAACGATTTCCAACAAGCGTCCGTCTAAAACTGATATTGAGGGGAACGGATTGTAAAACAGTAGCAACGTAGGCTTCTCTACGTCGGACAATGTTGTACAAAGAGGGATATTGAAGTGCAAGGGGGGTCTCCCCAAGCCACGTATCCTCCCAAAACCTTGTAGTGGTATCATTCCCAACAATAAATTTAGTCTTGTTGAAAAAAAGTTGTTTAACTCTCATCAAACCCTTCCAAAAGGGAGAGTCAGAAGGCCTCGCATTCACCTGAGCCAAGGTTTTAGCATAGAGATACTTATTGCGCAAAATCTATGCCCAGGTGGCCTCCGTCTGAGATGACAGCTTAAAAAGCCACTTGCTAAGGAGACATATGTTTTTGGCTTCCAGATTTTCAATACCTAGGCCACCTTGGTCCTTAGGTCTACATATTATATCCCACTTCGCAAGTCTATACTTTCGTTTAATCTCATCAATTTGTCAAAAGAATCGAGATCGATAGAAATCTAACCTTTTCCTAACTCCGACTGGAACCAAGAAAAAGGATAAGAGAAACATAGGCATACTAGTAAGGACCGAATTAATCAGAATCAATCGACCTCCGTATGACATGAGCTTTCCTTTCCAACAGCTCAGTTTCTTTTCAAAACGATCCTCAATGCATTTCCACTCAATATTAGTTAGCTTACGATGATGAATGGGTATACCTAAGTACGTAAACGGTAATGTGCCCAATTCACATCCGAAAAATTGTTGATACGACTCCCGGTCATCATTGGCTCTTCCAAAGCAAAACAATTCGCTCTTGTGGAAGTTGATTTTGAGCCCAGACAATTGTTCAAATAAGCATAGCAGCAGCTTCATGTTTCTTGCTTTCGCCAAGTCATGCTCCATAAAGATGATAGTATCATCAGCATACTGAAGAATGGAAATCCCGCCGTCAACTAGATGTGGAACGAGGCCACCTACCTGCCCTACATCCATTGCCCGGCCTATTAAAATAGTGAGCATATCAGCCACTATGTTAAACAGGATCGGTGACATAGGGTCTCCTTGCCGTAGCCCCTTGTGTGTTTGGAAATAGTGACCCACGTCATCATTCACCTTAATCCCGACACTCCCTTTCTGCGTAAAGGAATCAATCTGGTTTCTCCAGGCCGGATCAAAACCTTTCATACGCAAAGCTTGTTGAAGGAAAGGCCATTTCACTTTATCATATGCTTTTTCAAAATCCACTTTAAAAACTACGCCATCAAGTTTTTTGGAGTGGATTTCATGGAGCATTTCATGCAAGACAACAACCCCTTCCAGGATGTTTCTATCAGGCATGAAAGCAGTCTGGGACGGCTGAACTACTGAGTGTGCGATCTGTGCAAGCCTATTTGTCCCGACCTTGGTGAAGATTTTGAAACTGACATTAAGCAGATATATAGGTCTGAACAGCTCAATGCGAACAGCCTCTGTCTTCTTAGGAAGAAGAGTTATCGTCCCAAAATTCAGCTTAAACAATTGAAGCTGCCCCTCGAAAAACTCCTGAAAAATGGGCATCAAATCTTCCTTGATAAAATGCCAGCACTTCTTGTAGAACTCCGCCGGAAACTCATCCGGTCCTGGAGCCTTACTATTCTCCATTTGAGCAATAGTCTCAAACACCTCTTTCTCCGAGAAAGGAGCGGTCATGAGCTCATTCTCGGCAGTCTCAAGTTGAGGCAGATCCTCAACCCTAGACTCATCCAACGATACGAAAGTCTCCACTGGGGGACCAAACAACTGCTTATAATAATTTGTAATATAAACTTTCAGATTGTCCTGACCAACTATCGTCCCTTCATCTTGTTCTAGTTGGAAAATTCTCTTTTTACGATGCTTCCCATTAGCAATCATGTGAAAGAATTGAGTGTTATCCTCGCCTTCTACGATTTTGCGAACCTTGGCTCGCGACGCCCACTTCAATTCCTCCTCACGCAGAAGCTTTTTAAGCAGCAGCTCCGCTTCTATCTTTGTTTCCAGCTCATCGGAATCCAAGATAGAGGTTTCTGCTTTAAGTTCAAGGTTTTGAATAATTAGAAGAAGTCGCTCCTTCTTCACCTTATAAATCCCATGCGTGTGCTTAGCCCAACCACGAAGGAACCTTCGGAGATGACGAATCTTGCATTGCCATCTCTCGATAGGCGTCCTACCTCCCGAGTCCTTAGCCCACTCTCTAGCTAGCAACTCAAGGAACCCTTCTCTTTCAAACCAGGCAAGTTCAAACCAGAAAATGTTCTTGTTACCCACAAAATTTTGAACTCCGAATCCTAGCACTTCTACGCACTGCGGAGACTGGATAAACCTTTCGTTTCCGTGTACAGACAGTATAACGAGAGCGCCTCGTCGAGGCCAGCCATATGAAAATATTCAAAGGTGGGTTTGATCGCCGGTAGCGGGAGAGTTAGCTTCGTTAAGGAGACATCACCATCATCACTGCGCGCATCAATTGTGAAATAGCTTTTCGAGTCATCGATGTCTGACCACTCGTCACATGCCCGCGCAGCTCGCCCAAGCGCTTTCTAGAGAAGGCCCAGCTCGGCTCGGTGCTTGAAAACCTGTGCAAGTTCCAGTCCAGAATGCCGTTGTCGCGGGCCAGGCCGATGGCCACCACCCTGAAAAATGTTTAGTAGTTTGCCGCCTCCGGCGGCGCCGTCCGCGGTTCGTTTGGGGAGCAACAGTCTTCGCTGGTTAGAATGGCATAGCCCAAGAAGTGTGTCGGCTCGCTTACTAGCGGTGGAAGCACATCGCACGTGCCAGCGAACGGTTCCCACACGGCCAGATTGACAGGGCCACGGTCGTCGTGTGGAGCGAGGCGCACCAGGAGGAGACCACCACGCGAGGTGAGTGACGTCGCGCCATTGAGGAGCCCCGCCGGCGCGCTTGGGCCGGGAAAGGATCGGCGGCCGGGGTCGAGCGGCGACCGTCGAACCGAGACAAATACCGGCAGCGAGTCGGGATCCCCGACCTCGTCTACGCCGACAAGCAGATCCTCGTCCTCTTTTGCATGTAACCGCTGCCGGGTGAAGAAGCCGGAAGGACGGGTGGGGCGCGTTCTCGGGGGCTGTTTGGATGATGACCAACACTAGCCTTACCAAAAAATTGGTCATGCCCACGATATTTGGCTAGCGTTTGGTCTGGTACCATTTTTGGCTCGCCATCGTCGACTTGGGCGCGCCCGCGTATCGTTTTCGCCAACTCGCGGGCGAAACAGCGGCGCGGAAATCAGCCGCCAAAATATTGGCTGCCAAATCTGGCGCGAGCTAGCCACCGTGATATAAAAGGCACGATTGATTTTTTTCCCACCTGTTCGCCACTTTCCCCATCTCTCTTCTTATCTCCACGCACAGAAGCGCTCTCGATCCAATCACCGGGCGGCCGCGTTCTGCGTCGGTGCGAGCTTCTCCGGCGGCCGGCGACCGGCCACGCTGCTCCACCTCTCGCCCTCCTCTCCCAGTCAAGCTACGCTCCAAGGTCGGCCGCTGAAATCCCCATCCAACACTACTCCGATCCCCTTTTCTATGGTCTAATTTGTGAGCTCAAATCCCCATCATCCCCTTATGGATGTATGTATTGTACGGAGGTACTACTTGCTAGATCTGAGATATTGCTTGCTGAATCCTCCTGTTTGCTGGAAGTAAAATTGGAATGGAACTCCTGTGCATGTTGTTGGTTTGCTGCAAGTAAAAACATATGAGACTCTAATCCATATTCTTTGTTTTTTTTTGTGGGTGATCCATGTTCTTTGTTTGACGCAAGTCAAATCACATGAGAATAATGATGTTAATTAGTTAATTAACCAGGTATGGTTCTGAAAGTAGTATGGTCTGTTCTTCCCTTTTTATGCCATATGTATGGTCTCTATTTTTAGAACATTAAGGTGGATTTTTTGAAGTTGGATATACATATTAACTACTGAGACATGCTTCGATTTTTTGTCCATCAAGGTGTATTTTTTTTTACAAGTTGTGCATCCTTGGTACTGGTTAGAAGCAGGTTTGCTTTCTAACATGTATCTTTTAGCAAGTAATCATTTCTAATGATGTACCAAGTTAGCTCATTCATATTTTTGTACATTTCATATTGACCCAGATGGACATGGATCAACAAAGATATTATTATTACAGCATGTTGAGGCGGAGAACTCTCTGTGTTATTGTTCTACTCTTGGCCCTCTGGTATAGAAGCAGAGATGGTAGAAAATTTAGAGGTAAAGGCAGGAAGTATGGTCCATTAGTTCAGAGAGACATCTACAGAACTAATGTACTAATTAGGCTCATTGACACATCGGATGCAACATGCATCAAGCAATTAAGGATGACTCGAGCTGTATTTTACAAGCTATGTAACAGGCTTAGGCAGAAGGAGTTGTTAAGTGACACATTTCATGTTTCGGTAGAGGAACAAGTTGCAATGTTCCTATACATGGTCGGTCAGCATCACACAAATTCATCTGTTGGATTTTGGTTCTGGCGATCTAGTGAAACAGTGAGCAGATATTTCAATATTGTCCTGCGTGCGATGGGGGAGTTAGCACGTGATCTAATTTATATTAGATCGACGGACACACACACAAAAATCACTAGCAGCCCGAACAGATTCTACCTGTACTTTGAGGTAATCCTTAGACCATAGATTTTTTTACTGATTATACAAGATCGGCCTAGCCCAAGCTTGACATGAACTTCCCTTTTTCATATTCGTAGGGATGCATAGGGGCACTAGATGGCACTCATGTTAAGGCTTGTGTTCCTGCTCACATGGTGGACAAATTTAGGGGCCGCAAGTCATATCCCTCCCAAAATGTGCTAGCAGTTGTTGACTTCGACCTTCGGTTCACATATGTTCTAGCTGGTTGGGAGGGCTCTGCCCATGATTCTCTTGTGCTAAAAGATGCCCTCTCACGTCCAACAGGTCTGAAAATACCTGAAGGTACATATACAACTTAACATACATGTTTGTCATTGTGGCGTTCCAACTTGACCTTAGCTCACCATTAGTGCAACATGGTTGTAGGGAAATTTTTCTTGGCTGATGCCGGGTATGCTGCAAGGCCGGGGATATTGCCTCCTTGTCGTGGTGTGCGTTACCACCTAAATGAATTTGCTGGACCCTATGAACCAACTACGGAAAAAGAATTATTCAACCACCGTCATTCATCACTTAGGACCACAGTTAAACGAGCATTTGGGGCTCTTAAGAGTCGCTTCAAGATTCTTACTCAAAGGCCCTTCATACCTTTAAAATCTCAGATTAAGGGGTAGTTGCTTGTTGTGCTTTGCACAATTGGATATTAGAAAATGGTATGCCAACCTCCCAAGGAGTAGTGGACGGGTTCGTGATGAAGAGGCTGACATACATGAGTGGGCTGCCAAGCGTGATTTATTAGCTCAACAGATGTGGGCAGATAGAGAGAATGCAAGTGACAACGAGGCTAATGCTAACTTATTTTAGTATCTCTGTTGCATTTCCCATGTGAGGGAACAATCGAAGCTTGTAGTGTATCTTTGATGTATTTTCATGTGAGGGAACAATTGAAGGATGTAGTGTTTTGATTTTGATGAATTTATGCAACTTATTTTATCATTGTAAGATTGTCTGACTTATTTTAGTATGTAAGCTTCAAGTGTTGCTGAAGATGGGTGTTTGTATGCTGGTCCGGACTTATTTTATCATTGAAGGATGTGCATTTGTTTAATCACTTTAAATGGTTTGTGTTGGTGACCTATCTGCAGGTCATGGGGAAGCAAAAGCTCACTATAAAGACCGAGGAGGAGTCAAATCCTCGTGAGAAGTACATAACCTGGACTGACGAGGCGACAAGGTTTATGCTTGATTGGTATATTGAGCTTCGTAAGGACAAACCTGCAACTTTCAAGTTCAAGAAACAGCCCCACTTGCACTGTGCTGATACTTTGAATGGCAAGTTTACTCTTGGTGTCACTCAAACCCAAGTGGACCGACACTACCGGTCATGCAAGGAGAAGTGGGGTTGGGTGCGTCGTGCCATGGCCAATAGTGGCAACGGCTTTGACATGATTAATTTCACATTCACACTTTCTGAGTCAGAAAAACAAAACCTAAGTGTAAGTTTGTATTATTGTGTTCTCTTGCTTCTATCATAGTCTAATATGAAAATAGGTGGATAGGCTGCTATTGTCCATATATGTGCTTCCTATCCATTGCCCTTTATTGTGATTGCTTAATATTTTACCTTCTTTTTCTTTACCTTATGTGCAGAAAATTGCAGTCAATTATCTTACTAGACCCATCAGGTTTTTTAATCAATTGCAAGAGTTATTCTCTGACCAGTCCCATGCTGATGGCTCGCTTGCAACTGACCAAACCACTGTCAATGTGGATGATGATAGTGATGACAGCGAGGAAGTGAGGGAACTTGAGGCCAATCTAATTCCAGTTGACAGCGATGAAGCTGACTCTGACACTATTAATCGTCACAGTACTAAAGTTGACTTGGAAGGCAATTCTTTAAACAAGAAGCGCAAGCACGTGTCATCTTCACCTTCCAAGAAGCCAACTAAGGGGAAAGCAAACAAGAAGGGCAAGATATCTAATGATGATATGGCAGCCAGTATCAAGAAGCTAGCTGACTCTCTTGCATCTCCTATTGTTTCTGTGCAACCAATGCCACCTACAGATCCATATGCAAACCTTTGGAAGCGATAAATGCCCTTACCATACCAGCTAAGGATAAACTTGAGCTTGTTGCATATCTATCCAAACCAGACCAAGATATCTTCCGTAGTTACCTCAACTATGCTGATGAAACAATTCTTGGACATTGGGTCCTTAGCTTCTTCGAGCCTCGGTTTCAAGAAGATGGTGGCAACGGTGGATCTTCAACTGCTCACTGAATGGTCACATGACTAGATAGAGATTGCGGCTTCCTTTTGTTTACCGCTAGGAGCATGGGTAACATACATCATGCATATTTTGTCTATATAGAGCAGGCCGGGTGCATCATATTTTGTTTATATGGAGCAGACTTGATGCTAGTCTGACTAGTCTGACTTACTTGGTCTGGTAAAGACTTGGTTACTATGTGAATTTTATTTAGCCTCCTTGATGATTAATCTGATGTATCGAACAATATGAGTTATCTAATGTATTAGTTGAACCATGTCATTGTCAATTTCTGAAAATGCATGCTTACAGTTTGTGTCTGTGTGCGTTTCTAAATTGAAAATTTGTATTAATGTCATGTGATATATGTGAGGTAGTGTCTGATGCTGATCACTTTTTGGCTGGCATGCATTTTGGAACCAAACCAAACAGAGTCCAATGAAGGTTGCCAAATATTTGGCTTCAAACCAAACGCTGGCCAATGGTTTTGCGAAAAAGTTGGCAAGTGCTATGGGCTACAAACCAAACAGCCATAACCTGCCAATTTTTTGGTCTTGCCTTCAAGTTGGCCATGCCAATAATTTGGTAGGGCTAGATGGGGCACAATCCAAACATACCCTCGGGCCAGCGGCGGCGGAGGAAGGAGCAGTCGGCGATGAGCCTACGCCACAGCTTGCATACCGTGGCGCAGCGAAACAGCGTGGCGACGTCGGCCACGCGCACAAGGACCTCCAGGATGACGTCGTCCGGGAGCGCGGCGGCCGTCTCGATTCCCACCATCGATGTGTACTAGTACTAGGAATCTGCCGAATTTCAGATTCAGTTCCAAATCGGCTTCTTTTCCAACTTCTACCGGGACTCGTCTTCAGTCTGATTATAGTTATCCTGTCTATCCCAAGCACGTTTTCTGATTAATATTTGACACCACTAGGCAGCCAGGCCCAATGCTATCCCCTAAAATGGACATAGTATCCGTTCACCGATATGTCTGGATGTGTCCGCCGACACGTAGACACTGATATGGGAGGTTGGGAGCGCTCCTTTCAAACGTGGCTAAGAACAAAGAGGGAAAATTTATGCAAACTGGACAATTTTCATTTCAACTTGGACTAAATTCAAGAAAGTTTGATATATTTTACCAAAGAAGAACATACATGGATTTATTAACACAGCAAAAGTGTCTAGTTAAATCTTCATAGACCATGGAGATGAACATGTACAACGCCCTGTTCTTCCCCACGTTTGGTGAGGAAGAGCAAGACATGGGAGGAGGCGGAGTGGCTCCCATGTCCCTGCTCTGACTTGCCGGAGTCCGCCGCCGGTCGGTGAGCTCACAGATCGAAGTATGGTCCGGCCTCGTGGTTGTTGTGACAAACAGCGCGGATGGCGCAAACAACGCGGAGCTGCCGACGTGGGTCGGCGTGAGCTTTGTGTGGGATCAAAGAGCACCCGCTACTGGTCGATGAAGGTCATGTCCTCTGTGACCATGCCCGCCACTACCTCCTCGTTCGTCATAGATTTGCCCCTACGCCAGTAGGTGATGCGTGATGAGGTCGAGATTGTAGTGCTGGTTCTCCTGCGCCCTCTGGAACTCCAACTCCGGGTGAGTCGACTCCACCTCCGCCATAATAGTGTGGAAGTGTGCCTGCCCCAGCTCCATTGTGAAGCTCGTTAGCGGTCTGACCTCTAGTTTCCGTGCACGTCGGGTTTTCCAGCTGCCTGCAAGTCCGGCCAACTCGAGCTTTTGTTCCATACAGAGGCTCTCCCACAATGCACTTGAGCTCGTCGTCATTGCGTTATAGGTGCACAGAGTAGGAAGGGAAGCGGAGGTGGTGCGGTGTGGAAAATGTCACACGTGATAACGTTTAAGTAGCGGGCGTCACCCTGACCAAGTAGCACACTATTTCATTACGGGGGCCGAAGCGGGTTTTTCGGTAGGCGCATCTGTTTAATATCTGTAGGCCAAAGAACGGGCATGCGCTACAATGCGGTAGAAAATCGTCCCCTCACTTCGTTTGGTCATGTCGCTCTAGAATTTAACGGGCACAGAGATCGACCAGATGTGGCGTGGGTGGCGCTCTCGGCCGGCGCGCAGCTTCAATGCTGTCTCCTGTGATCATTCGTGTTTTCTCTGGGCCTGCATAAATGTGGCACCGGGAGCGGAGGTGTGGTCGCGCGGGAGATGGTTTCGGTTGGGAGACTGTGCTGTCGGACTCGTATGTTGCAGCGGTAGTGCCGCTTCAAACCTTTCCCTTATCTGTGTCCTGTTTGCTGGAATTCAAACCCACAGACGCGCCCGCAGATAAATATGGGTCCGTGTTAGATGGCAAATTACATCCAGACACGCCGGTCCAGACATTTTGTTGTGTTATTTGAGAATCCGTGTTGGAGATGCCCCTTACTGTCTACCAGCCTGTGTACCCTCTTGGGCAGAATGAGAAGAGCTCTCAAATTGGACCAAGAGATAGTGGAATAAAGGATAATATGCAAGATGAGAGTAGTTTAAAGAGAACAAGCGAGTGGAAGAACATCAACAATTCGATTCACCACGTAGTACAGAGATTAAAGAGGTGTAGCAACAACAAATGGCCATTGAAATTAATTATAGTAGAACAACCTACTTTTTGAGCAAAATCTTTCCAAATAATTGTGCTCTTTTTGTTTGATATCGATGATGTCTTTCAGTCACTTGTCTCTAACAAATGCAACTTTCACTAATTATTTTATTTTATTTGAAAAAGAGAAATGTCCGGGCCTCTGCATCTGAGTGATGCATGCATCCATTTATTGATGCTAGGTTCGAAAATAAAGTCTTAGGTTCAGCAAAGGGTAACAGAAGGAGCATAAGAACAAAAATGAAAGAACAAAAAAAGGCATAACCGGCGAAAAATAGGCCTAGATGACTAAAAACCTATCCTATTAGTGGATCGCCATCCAAAACCGGTTGTAGATAATCCGTGCTACCGACTCCCATTGGTTGCACCCAATAGACAAAAACTCTCTGGAGTCCGCATGCGTGAGTAACAACCACGTATGAATCCGAGCAGTGGCCCTGTAAATAAGTTGCAAAAGTTGACAAAATTCTGTATGATAAAGATGATATCATTTCTTCAGTTCCATATAACCCAATGTAATGGGCATATTCCTATCTGAATATGGCCCGCAATATTTGATTCCACTCCAGTTAGCCACGTCCTAAGTAACGTGTCAATACTACTTGGAGGGGTAACGTTAAAGGCTATATGTCTCGTATGCCATAAAAGCTTGGCAAGAGGAGAGTCGAGAAAGAGATGTTTTGTGGTTTCATTATGGTCACAAAAGCAACATGGTGAACTACCCTTCCATCTTCTCTTCACCAAATTATCCTTGGTTACAGTTTCTTGTGAGCAAACCACATGAAGATTTTGATTCTCAAGGGTATTTTAATCTTCCATATGTGAAGTGATTTCCGTATTGGCCCAAAGTTTATTAAGTCTAAGTACATGGATTTCACTGTGAAACTACCGTTCCTGATAATTTCCGGTGAGTGGCATCTGGTTGGTCAGAGAGTTGAACATCCATCAACCTATGAACCAAATGCAGCCACGAATTCCAATGTTCCCCACCAGAACCCTCCAGAACTGTATGTTTAGGGATACTGACTATAATACTGGCACCACATAAGCTTCCTTACGTTGTACAATATTATAAA